CATCCACATGAATGTTTTTGGAATAGCATTTAGCTCTTGAAAATCTTATATCATCATATATAGTACATTTTGTTATACTTGGCAATCTTTTTCTTCAGCACCATTTTTTAGAAACTGGTACGTTGATTTTAAACAACCATTAATAAATAATCCTAAGGCTTCATCATTTTGTTATATAAGTCCGTAAATGTCACCAATTTTCATAATATTACTAAGCAAAAAAATAAAAAAATTACCAGCCAAACAGAACAATTTGTGCTGAATTAAATATCAAACAAAATAACATATAGAAGATACCGCGGAAATAAGAAAAATAAGAAGTACCGCGGAAAAACATTTACCCTGGAGGGTTAGGCCTCCTTCCTAAATATACATTTTATAATACTTTTAGATAAATCATTTATAACATTTATAAACAAGAAATTATTGTTACTTAAATAAAATCTCATATTTAAGTCAAAGAACACAACAACCTATTGCTTTGGGTACATCAATCTATTGTAAGGGTTGTTTTAAAGTTATTCATCAATTTTTTTTTTTATTTCATTTTTTATGCCCATTAAATATGGTAATAATTTTTAACAATTTTCACCTCCCTCGTCCCTCAATGTCAATAACTTATCTAACTTCAATAGACTCTCTATAAAAATACGTCAACATTTGATTACCTCTCCCTAAAAATGAAATGTAATTGAAAAATAATCTTTTTTTTCCATTTTTAAAGTTATTAGATTTATTTAAAAAAGTAACTTTGTTGAGGTCAACTTTTATTGACCTCTATTCTCCCCTCTCCTTGTTAACATTTGTCAAAACATTTCTGACACACCCGTGTCCATTAATTATGTCATTTTGTTGACATAGTAAATGGACAACCCCATGTTTAAAGTCAGATTGTTCTACAGTTGTTTAATTTTGTAATTGATAAGTTTTTATATAAAAACACCGTAGCAGTGTTTTGTATATTGCGCCGTAGCAGTGTTTTGCTGCACTGCATAGAGATTTAGAAACACTTAAAATTAGGCCAAAATACAGTTTTTTGAGTAATGCAATTTAAATAATTTTATTAGCTAACTATTTTCTATAGTTTTTTATGATTCTAACGGCGTAGAAAGATAAGTACTGAAATAATAGATTAAAATGTTAACTTATGTTTGAAAATTACCGAAATTTTTTTTATTTTTTTATTTATTATTAAACTTTATCATTATTAAAACTTAATTTTCTCCCTAAATACAAAATCTTTCATTTTAATTTTTGTTATTTACAAAGATAATAGATAATTCTATCTTGATTTATAAAAATATTTTAAAATGTTTTTATTCATGTTGTAAGAAATGTATTTTGAAAAGCGCAGTTTTAAGGAATTTAAACGGATTTTTATGGAGCTAGCACTTACCTTCTTTTTTTTATAGAGAGTTTGTATCATTCAATAAGAAATTAAAAACGTTAGCTGATTAATATTATTTCAAAACTTGCCCCGTTTTGAAATAATGTGGATTTAAAAAGCTCATTTTATAAAAAAAAAATCAGCGACGTAAAAGCTGATGCGACGTAAAAGCTGATGCGACGTAATTTAACTTCAATATTTATGTTTTGAGAATTTTTCCTGATATTTCTAAACAAAACTTTTTAATGTATTTAAATATATATATACAGTTGACTCTCGATATCTCGAACTTTATTTACTCGAATTTGTCTCGAATGTATCTCGAACATTTTTTATTTTTATTTTTTTTTCGCAATTTAAAAACCACTGCTCAGTGTTTTTTAAATTGCGAATAACTCGATATTGGTATAAGAGGTCGCCTATAAACTACGTCATGTTTTAGGGGGGAGGGCGTCAGTGTTTTTGTGACGACTCATAAGCGACTTGTTACTTAAGCTGATGAAAGCACGGCATTGTATTCTTTTTTTTAATGACAAAACAAATAAATAAATAACCTCCTTGAAATAAATGGTGACGAGAGGAAGGAGGAGGGGCGGTCAAACAGGTCTAAAATTGCGTGAAGTAATTTACGGACACCCCTAATTAATCAATAATTATTCGCAGTTTACAAAACACTGCACATTGGTCGGAAACATCACTTTTCTTGGCCAAAACTTAAAATAACGGAATTTTTAACTGGAATTTGAATTTGCAGTATATTTTAAGTGTTTTTGTATAAAATAATTAATTTTTTTTAAAAAAAATTATTAACATTTAGAATTAAAATTTAAAAAAAAAATTTTTACATAAATTTTTTTTTTCTTTTCTTTCTGAGTTTTTATTTTTTTAGTTCTAAATTAGAAAATATACGATACTTACGAGTAAATATATTGTTTCTGGAAATTGAAAATATGATTTACACACGAATTTACGAAAATATTAAAATTTCATTAAACTCTTTAATTTAAATACAATTCATTATCCAAAAATGTATATTCCTCTTCAAGTTGTTCTGGATAATCGTCCTCGTCGCCATCCATATTTTCTAAATTCTCAGTCGCACATGTTTCACCAATATCCTCACAATACAATAATTTCTTTATTTCTGGTGGCAGTGTTAAACGCTTCCTTTGTTTAACACGTGTATTTAAGCGAAGAGATGAAATTAATGGATCCGATGTGTTAAGAGCTCTATGAAATACATTGAAAAGATTATCAATGCGGCTAGTCTTAAGTGCATGGTGCAGTCTGTCACTTTTATATATTTTGTTTCGTGACTCAGCTGCATCCTCTCCGAAGTAACCAACAGGAAGTGCCGTATTCTGCATTATTTGCTTTGAGTGAATTATAACTTTATGTACTGTGGGAGTCATTGGCAACCAGGGGTACTTGCTTTGATATAATTGACCAGTTTGAAAGCAATACTCTTCAAATTTTACCAAATTTAGAGAAAATTGACAAGATAAACATATTAATATTATTCTCATTCAAAATATTAATTCGGTGTCTACTCCTAAAACTTTCGAAAATTTATCATATTCCGCAAATGCTCTACGTGAAACCACAACCACCTGCTTTCGGAAAATCAACACGAAAACTTAGTTCTTTCCAAAACTCATTCTGGATATACTCTTTTTTTTTCTTAATTGCATCTTTATCTTCATCCAATCTTATTTGCCATTTTTTTACTTCCATCTTGTATCCTAAATGTAGTACGAACTCAAAAAATCTAATCCAGCAGTGCAGTGGACTAATTTCGTACTTTAGATTTCCATTGATAGGATGAAATTTTACGCTGTTATAATCTGTCACTTTAAGAAAGTCAGTTTGGGTTGCATGGCATATTGGACATTTTTGATTTGATTTTGTATCGGTTAAAACATTCAAAACTTTTCTATCTATAACAGTTAAAAACAGTCTGAACGTTATTTCGATTATCTTACCCGCTTCGATTTCAACACGTAAGTTTTCAAGCTCTTGAATTTGTTTATTTAAGTCAGCAGCTTTTCTTGTTATCACTTCCTTCGTTTCACTCTTGTACTCTAATTTTAAAGGCCGACAAAACCTTGTGGACTGCGGTAAACAATTATTCCAAATCGGGGCTCCCGCGCTACTCAAGAGTCTCAGGGGAATCACTGTTGTGCCAACAGACATGAATCAGCATTTCGTGATGCACTTTGATCAAGGAAAGATTGCTTGTATTGAGATTGACCAGAGCTGTTGTCAAAACCGTAGCTAAATATCATTTCCGTTGATATGAAGTTACCCGTAATTGTTGCAAATACTTCCTTTTACATTTCTATAATTCTTTTAGCTGTATGCATTAAAAGCATTTGTAAAGAAACCTTTGCACATTTGTCGTCTACAAGTAGACCATCGGGTCTGCACTTACTTTTTATTGCTAATATATTATCATAGGGTGGATAAATATTAGCGTTGCGTTGCTTGCTTTCAGTCCGGATGGAACAGTATTGGCTCTTCAAAAAATTGTTTTCGAGAAGAAATGCTAACGCTTCCTCATCAGACATTACAATAGGTGCTTTTACATCATCGACATATAGCTTCCTAATTTTTGATGATTTTGATGGACTTTCGATGGTTTCTTTTAAAACAACTGCCAAATCTACTTGTCCTTGTTTTCGAGCCAAAATTGATGCTGCTTGAACTAACAGATTTGTTTCGTTGTGTTCTGACATCGAGAGGTTTGCTGCTTGTCTCCTCTTACTTCGTTCAGATTTCTCAGAGTACTTAAGTTGCGGGCGTCCAGTTAGTGATACAATTTTTTCATCTGGGGTTAGTTCTACTATGCACTGAGTCTCTGTGGAAGCGATTTCTAAATTTATTTGCCTGTTTATTACAGTTTCTGAACAAAGCCAGCCAGAATATTTAATTTGAAAATCATCTCATCTTCTATGAAATTATTATTGTTAAGCATGCGTGCTTTTTCTGTTAAATATTTATAGTATTCATCTGAAATTTGATTAGCTACACATTTTTGTATAAAATAATTTATTAGTGCGTCCTTATTTTTTCCTTTCTTCTGCTGGGACAACCAAATATCAAAAACTGCTGAATTCTGTAAAAAAAAAATGACTCCTGAAAAAAAAAAATTTACTCAAAAACCGCAAAAAACCGCAAATCGAGATAAACATTTTCAAAAACTAAACACTTCAAAGTAATTTTGGTTTATAATCTTATGCTTAACACTCCTAAACAAAATGTGTTAAGCTTACTCAAACTTAAAAAATAAAATAAATTCCAAAATGTTAAAGACTTTTGGAAAAAGTTATTTTATTTTTTAGAGTATCCAAATTTTGAGTATTATATTTTACAAAATTAATAAACTTACCATCACCTTCGTTTTCCATTTAAACTTTTATTTAACACACTTTGTTTTCAGCTTTAACAAGCAATTGAAGTAAGCACTATAAAACACTGATCGCAATTCTGTTTACAAATGAAGCAAACAAATTCAACTTCGATGACTCACAGAATAACGGTGAATTGCATATTACAACAACAAAATTAATTTTTGGTTGTTTTGGAGTGTAGACTACTAGATTTAAAAAACAAAAACATATTTTGTGAGTGTAAAAATTTTGACTTTTGGCCAAGAAAAGTGATGTTTCCGACCACTGTGCACTGCTACGGCGGCCAATGCGCCCCATTTCCCCTACATTGGGTTCATTTAAAGATACAAAGTTACTTAAAATTACTGATGTTGTTAAGATAATACAGTGTTGATCAACCATGTATACTGTATTGAACCTCAAAAACTTTTATAGTGTTTTGAATAAGAAATTGATTCTAAGAAAAGGTTTTATTCTCTTTTTTTCTACACAAAAAAATAATGCTTTAATTATGTGTCCGTCGCAAGGGACACAGTTTGTAGGGATGCTTTCAAAAGTAGATGTAACCAACTATGTTTATAAGCAGTTGATTGACTTAGCGAAAAATACCTTAGGCTATAACTTGCTTGATAAATGTAAGCATGGGCCGCAAGAATTGTTAAACAGGTAAATACACTACAAATTTTTTGTTTACAGTAATATTATTGGAAATGTAACAAACTTATGTATGTTTTTTCTTCTATTTATAAAGGTAAAATATAGACTAAATTAATTGTGTATAGTATATAATATGTGTGTAATAGTATTTCTATACAGGAAATATACAAAGAATATATTATTGGATGTGTGCAATAATGGACAATAATTAGACAATAATTAGACACTTAAAAAAAAAAATTATTTTTTAATAAGAAATAAACGAGTTAAACTAAATCAATTGTATATGCTTCATTATTGTCTATGAATGTTCAGCAAGGTGTACACATAACATATAAGTAGAACTCTTTTAACCTTTTGAATAAGGCTGAGCCAAAATCAAAGAAAAAATTTCTTTGATTTTGCAACATGTAGTCAAAGATTCTCATAATATTTTGTGAGTTTCAACTCTAAATTTTTTTGCAATGTGTAATTATCATGTGAATTAAAGTTACTATATTCTTATTTCATAATGAGAGCTTAACAAGATGGTAAAAAAACTGTTTAATCAGGTAAATACACAATGATTTTTAAAGGAGGTATAAATGATTTTTATATAACTACTCCCAACTATTGTTTGTTAAGAAATTTTTTTCAAAAAAAGGAATAAATATTTTAAAACCATACTTTTACCTAATTTGACCTTATTAATGAATGAGTGAATGCCAATTTGTACAAGCATTATTCTATCTACTATGCTTTGCTCTTACTAAAAATAGCTTCTGCAATTACTTTAATGCATTAGTTTATGTATACATAGGAAAATACATTAAACAATTCTAAATAAACAAAAATTTGAATTATGATAATAACTTGCAGTTATGTTTTTTGCTATGTTGCAGCTATGATCTTTGCTATGTTGCACCTATGTTGTTTGCTATATTGCTTTGTTATTGGTAGTTAAGTTTATTATTTATTGAGCAAAAGTATTTATTAAGTAAAAGAACATTTATTGGTATTAAAACATTAACTGCAATTTAATAATTGACACCTCTCCACTAAATGTGATTTTATTTTGTAAACCAATGTGCTAAGTTTGTAACCAATCAGCTATAGTTTTCAATTTCTATAGTAAATTTGCTTTACTAAGCGGGCACAAGATGTATTTTAGACATCTAAAGTATGTATTAATGCATGTTTTAGATGCTTCAAAGATCCTTGTGCACACTGGGTAGTTTTTCATCTATTATTTGAAAATCAGTTTATTATTTAACATAAAAATTTTTGAAAAAAAATTTTTGTTTATTATTACCCAACATCTCTTTTTAAATAAATGATTGGGCATTGTTTATGTTAAATTAAGATAAAAGTTTATTTAAATTATTGTTATTTTAACAACTTTTAAATTCTATTTTAATATGTAGAACATTGTACAGTCAACCAGCAATATTGTTATCAACTTTGCTAATCGCTGAAAATATCAAAATGGACAAAAGTTTGAAGGTATAAAGTTTTAAAATTAAACTTACTGTATAAAAAACTTTATAAAGGAGGGAACTTTCACGGCTTTCAAGGTACAAGAACTAACAATTTAAAAACCGGAGTCCTTGTAGAATAGTGGCCAGGGCCTTTAGGCTAAATAAAATAAAATCAGAGACAATTTATTTTATAAATTATTATAATCAATTTTATTAACTAAAAAGCTATTATTGTTAAAACTTGTTTCTTGTCAGGAATTTCTGATTTTTTCCAGATTTATTTATATTTCTACTTTATTATTAATTATAAATTTGCTATAATTAATAATAAAGTAGTAAGATCTTAATAAATCTTAATAAATATTGATAAGTTATAACATTTTACCTTCAAAATCATTTATATTTTAGTTTTCTTGTTGTTGTCATAGAGTTAAGCTGGATGATATAGATGTCTTAAAGTATTTTTGGTTTAAGAAAAAAAGCGTTGTTAATTAAAAAAATCAAAAGTAAAATATTAATTTATTTTTAAGTAGTGGAAATCGATTGTGGGTTACAGTCTTGGCGAGCTCTCTGCATTAGCTGCTGCTGGTTGCATTTCATATGAAGACAGTAATAAAATTATATTTTATTTTATTTAAAAACATTGTTTTTATTGTATAATATTTTGAAAACTTTATTGTACCTGATATGAAAACTTTAAATTATTGCTTTTTAAGTACTATTGCTTTAAAGTTTCAAAACTTTGTCAAGCAAGTAATTTTGTTTTTGTAGACTTACATGCTCATTATTTAAAATGGTTTTAAACTAAATCATTTTAAATATAAAAGAAATTTTATTAAACCACCTGTCAATTGTATAAAATTAATTACCCATCAACCACCTGTTCTGAACTAAATCCACAATAGTTCTTGGGCTTTATATAATGATAAAAATAATCTTTCAAATTGAACAGTGTTTTTTTAAACAGGTTTTTTTAAAAGTCCGTTTTTTCCAATTGATTTTTTTTAATATATGGATTCTTTAATGGAAAAATTATTTACGAATATTCATCTTTATTTACGATTACAAAATTATGGATATTCAAAAAAAACTTTTGCTAATAGTTTTTTAATTTTTCTCAAAACAATAAAAAAGTGATGTAGCACCTTTTAGAAAAATGCTTTTCAATTGTAACATCTCATAAAATGTATTGAAAGTTTTATGAAAAAATATAATATTTAAAGGTGGCACAACATCAAACCTTATTTATTTACTACTTTTTTTCTCGGCTAAATTTTTTGTTTTTGCTAATTAATATTTTTAAAAAATGGCTTAAATGCTAAAAAAGTATAAAAACTCTCTAAAAAGTTTTTATTGTTCATAGACTTTTTTTTTTTGAATTAGACTATTATTGCTATATTAATCCAATAGAAAATTCCTATTGTTTTTTCATACTTGAATTAATCAGATTTTGATGTATTGAGATGAACTTTGATATATTAAGGTGATGTATTAAGATATTTTGATGTATCAAGATGATTTAATAAATCAAGGTTTTTTCTACATGTTTTTTTTTTTTTTTTTTTGAATTGCCAGAGATTTTAAAACAGTCTTTTAACATTGAAGTCATCTCCATGATTAAAAAATGTCAGCTAGAAATTCATCTGGCAATATTAAACAGGTTCATCTCTTTGTAACGCCCAACGTCAAAAATGGTCTAGAATAGCCCCTGATATATATATATATATATATATATATATATATATATATATATATATATATATATATATATATATATATATATATATATATATATCAAGGATGTGGAGTCCCAAAACGAACTCCAGTTTTAAAAGTCTCTAAAAATTGAAAAAGACTTATAGACTATTTTTGGGGAAAAAAAAGTTAAGACTTTTAGTTAAAGGATATATATATATATATATATATATATATATATATATATATATATATATATATATATATATATATATATGTATATATATATATATATATATATATGTATATATATATATATATGTATATATATATATATATATGTATATATATATATATATATATATATATATTATTTACTTATATATATTTAATATATATTTTTAGTTTTTAAAATTGTTAAAGTTCGTGCCTCTGCCATGGAAAAGGCTGTCAGTTCAACACCAACTGGAATGATTTTTTTGGAAGGTTTGACAGTAAGTGAAGTTAATGAGTTATGTGATGACTTATCAAAAACAAGTTCAAAGCGTTTGTATTTGGCAACACATTTGTTTGAATATGGTGTAACAGTTGGAGGTAGTCTTGATCTCCTGAACAAGATTGTGAATCAAGAGCACTCTTTGGTAAATAGTTTGGTAAATATTTGAAATCAGTTGTATTTTTGATTTTTAGATAAATATATACATACATACATACATACATACATACATACATACATACATACATACATACATACTCTGCGGGAGGCAAATGCTTTATTTCTTTTTTTTGTCCACACTCCTCTAAAATGGTTTACTAAAGCAATTTACAACACTCGCAAAAGTATAATTGCATAATAAGCTGCAAAATTTTTTAAAAGGCACAGTTGTTGCAAAAAAAATTAAAGACAGCTTTGGTTTAAATGCAAATGTTTTTGATTAGATTGGACTAACTGATAAATATAAAGTTATTACACTCTAAATTATTGCATAATAATTTTTATTTTATGTAATGAGTCATATGTTTTATATATTAATTGCTTTAATATATTATTCACTTTTATTAATTCTTAAAATGTCTGCATTCTGTTAAAATAAGAAAATATAAAATATTTTTTATAAGCAGTATAAACTTTTATAGTTTGTTAAATTTTTTGTCAAACAAGTAATTTTTTTATAAATAAATGGATAGCTAGTGTGAAAAAACAAATACAACTCTCATCTAAGGAATTTTTTCACAGCACAATAAATAATGCTTGTTATGTATATATTCTTGTAACATTTATGTTACAAAAATATACTTGTAACAAGTATAAAACCAAAATTTGTATTTATTAAGCACTTTTTTTTAATGAATAAACAAATTTTTGCTCGTGCAAAAAACATAGGCTTTTATAAAAAGCTGTTTAGAGGAGCAGCTATATTTCTTAGCTCATTTATTTCCACCAAGGCCTATATATATATATATATATATATATATATATATATATATATATATATATATATATATATATATATATATATATATATATATATATATATATATAATATATATATATATATATATAAATTAACTTTTAATACTTACCTGATGATTGTGGTAACACATAAAACTCTGAGTAACAATATTATTAATAATATTAACATTTAGCAAATTTAAACAATTCCTAATTCTGCTGGTCACAAAAAACACTTTGACAATCTCATACTCATCAGAATATGAAGAATGTCTTTGCATTCACTGAATCATTTATTAACAACAGATCAAGAGAACAGCGGATTCAATATTTGCAAAAAAAGGGTTTATGAAGAATGCAGGCTTTCTACAGGTTATTTGTGAAATCTTTTCTTCTTACATTTCTTTACATTGTTCTTAATTCTTCATAAAACACTAAAAAACTTATTGTAGTATAAGTTGTGCTATACTTTGAAAAAAAAATGATTTCAGTATATTCCAACCATTATCAACGTAATGTTGCTTCTCTTTTTCTTTTCTATAAATACTATAATGGGCACTTCTCTAAAAAGCTAGCATCTTTTGTGCCATCCACTAAAATTGATTCTTGTGTTACTCGTCATTCAATTAAGTCTCATCCTTTTACTCCAAAAATTCTTATTTGTCTAGTTTTTTTCCTTGAACATCAGTTCTTTGGAATTCGCTTCCTTTATCTTGTTTCCCTGATTCATATAATTTGCAATCTTTTTTTTGTCAATTGTTATCTTGCTCTATAAACTTTATCTTTTTTCTTCCAGTAAATAGTGGTAGTAACAGCCTTGTTGGAAATAAAGATGTCAAAAAAAAAAAAGCATTTTCTTGATTTTTATTTAAAATATTTTTTTTTTCAGATAGAGCTAAAACTTAAGTCTCAGAATTATATTAACAAAAAGTTGTATTTAAATTTGCATTTATTGGTTATAATCTAAACATCAAAAATTGTGAAAATCAACCCCACACTATATGACAACTAACTCTGAGAGTGGACCTGGTTGTCACACAGAGGTCTTTAAGAAATGATTTTACCTCAAAACATATTTAACTTAATGTCATAAAAACATTTTGATAGTTGCCGGAAACAGTAAAAAATCTTTGTGCAAAGTTTGGCTTTGATTTAATGAAAAGTAAAATATAGTCTTAAATGTAAAAAAAGTCTAAAACGTAAAAGTGTGACAACCAACCCCCTGCTATATGTGCTACTGAAAATCAAATTAGTTTTTAAAGGTGTAAGATTTAATGTAAATGTTGACTAATAGTTAATTCTAATAAAAATTAGGAAACTCTGCTTGCAGGATACGAATTGCAATTAAAAATGCTTTTAAGTTTCAACTTTTTTAAATGCAAAGTGAAGAAAGTGAAGAGTTATAAGGTTAAATGTGCCTAGTTAATCAATTAGAATCTCTACATTTGCTTGCAATCACTAGTATGTTGTGGTAGATACATATATATATATATATATATATATATATATATATATATATATATATATATATATATATATATATATATATATATATATATATATATATAGATATAGTATATATATATATATATATATATATATATATATATATATATATATATATATATATCTATATATAGATATATATATATATATATATATATATATATATATATATATATATATATATATATATATATATATATATATATATATATATATATATATATTATCTCTCTCTCAGGTCAAGTTTTTCCTGCTCTCTCTATCCTGCTCTCTCTCTCTTTCAGGTCAGGTTTATCCTGCTACTGGTAACATGTAACCCAGTCCAATCTACTTCATGTCCTGCTGCCTTGTAGGATACACCTTTAGGCAAAGGCTAGGAGATGCCAACTCCAACATAAAACACCCCCTGGTTGGGGCTCTTGGTTGAGTAAAGGCTAGAGATGGTGTCTCGATAAAAATACTCATCTTGGGCAGATGTTAAACGCATCCAGCTGTTGTCTTGTAGAAGGCCTCCTAGGCAAAGACTTAAGGGGTAAACTTCTATCTGTTGACCAGCCTCGCACCCCTTCTTCATCTATTAGGCTGGCGCAGATGTATTTTTAATACATTGTTTCCAGTTTAGGATGTTGAATGCCGGATCTTCTTGACCCGATGCATGGGTTTTACTTGTGTCTCTGTTTTTATGATTAGACAATTCATTTTATTATCTTCTAATGAGGGTACAGCTCTAAAACTCATTTTTATGGTTCTGAGGCTGGCTGGTAGTCATGTTTCCTGAACTCTGTGGTAGCTCTCAGAGAGGCTGATTCCATCAACAGCTGAGAAATATCAAAGTACTAACAGTGCCATGTTGCGCATGGATGGTGTCCCTGTTTGTACTTTTGGTGTGCATTGTCGAGGCCACATTGGAGCCCTTTGTTACGGCTTAGGGTTTATTAATAGTAATGAGGCAATTGCTTGGGCTATAAGACAGTGTACTGAGTACTCTCTATGTTTCGAGTCGAGTTCTTTAACAAATTTAAAAATGAATAAAGTAATAAAAACTATAAAACACAAAAAACCACAGTCATCATTTCATAATATTCGTGGTCTTCGTAAGACCACGAATATTATGAAATGATGACTCAACAGAAGAAAAGTTCTAAGTAACTTTTCTTCTGTTGAGTCTTATCTCTTGCAAAGTTCACCGGACCTACTTGCTCTTTGTGAGACTAATTTGAGTTCAGCTGTCTCATCTTGTGATCTTAGTGTTGATGGTTATCTCCCTTTTTTATTTGTAAAGACTTCAATAGTCACATGCTTGGCCTGGGCATTTACATTCGTAAGAATTCACCCATTTGTTGGGAAACTAGGTTTGAATCCACAAACTACTCTTTTATGTGCTTTCGTTTAGCACCACTTCACTCTATCACCTTTCTCTTTGTTCTATATCGCTCTCCTTCATCTCAAGACTGCACTCTTCTTGATGTTATTTTTGATCATATTGACCAAGCCCTCTCTCTTTATCCATTAGCCAATATTGTTGTTGTTGGTGAGCCCAAAAAAGCCCAAAATTTTTACCTTTCTCAATCCCTAACTCAAATAGTCAACTTTCCAACTCCCTTTCCAGATAACCCGACTCATAACCTGAATCATTTACCTTCTCTACTCGACTTATGTCTTGTTTCTGATCCTAGTCAGTGCTCAGTTTCTCCACATTCACCCTTAGGTGCTTCCGATCATGGTTTGATCTCTAAAACTATTATCTCATTCTTCTTTATCATCAGAATCCCCCTATCATCGTACATCTTACAACTACCTTAAAGCTGACTGGGACTCTTTCCATGATTTTCTTCATGATGGCCCTTGGGTAGAAATCTTTTGTCTTTCTGTTGAGATATGTGCTTCTTACATAACTTCGTGGATTCAGGCTGGCATGGATTCCTTTATCCCCTCTCGACGATTCTAGGTCAAGCCTCACTCTTTTCCATGGTTTTCCTTACATTGTGCTGCTGCAATTGCCAATCGAAACCATTACTTCCATATCTATCAGCAAAATAATTCTCCAGAAAACAGACGTCTGTTTATTACTGCTAGGAACCATTGTAAAAAGATTTTGTCTAACGCCAAAGCTCGCTATTCTCAGATCATGAAATCTCGTATTTCATCACAAAAATTAGGCTCTCGTGACTTCTGAAGAATCTTTAATAGTATCAATAATAAAGGCAAGTCTGTAATTCCACCTCTTTTGTATGGTTCAGACTTTGTCACCTCACCTGAAGACAAGGCTGAATTTTTTGCTAAGAACTTTTCATCAATATCATCTCTTGATTTCACTAGTTGCGTTCTACCTGATATAGCTGTCAAACAGGTTGATCGATTGCTCGACATCCATATCACTCCAGCTTCTATATCTAAAGTGATTTCCTTCTTAGACTCTTCTACAGCTTGCGGCCCGGACAACATACCTGTTGTAGTCTTACAGAAGTGTTCTCCGGAGCTGTCCTCTATCCTTTCAAAACTATTCAATAAGTGCTTATCAGAGTCTTGTTTTTCAGTCTGCTGGAAAGCGGCATCTGTTATCTCTATTTTTAAAAATTCTGGAGAGCGATCCAATTCGTCAAACTATCGTCCCATTAGTTTTCTTCCCATCATAAGCAAGGTTTTTGAATCTTTAATTAAATAACGCCAACAATCGTCATAATGTTGCTTCTCTTTCTCTTTTCTACAAATACTATAATGGGCAATGCTCTAAAGAGCTAGCGTCTCTTGTGCCATCTACTAAAATTCATTCTTGTGTTACTCGTCATTCAATTAAGTCTCATCCTTTTTCTGTTACTGTTCCTAAGTGCTCCAAAAACTCTTATTCGTCTAGTTTTTTTCCTTGAACATCAGTTCTTTGGAATTCGCTGTCTTCATCTTGCTTTCCTGATTCATATAATTTGCAATCTTTTAAGTCGTCTGTCAATCGTTATCTTGCTCTAAAATCTTCATCTTTTCTCTTCCAGTAACTTTCAAGACTAATTAGTGGTTGCTTGCAGCCTTGTTGGAAGTGAAGATGTTAAAAAAAAAAAAAAGCATTAGTAAAAAAATGTATAATATAAAAAATGTTTTAATAAGAAAATTTTCACGGTGAAAAATTCACTGTGTGATGTTTCAAAAAAGCTTGGCTTGTACATAAGATTCTGTATCCTATGCGTATAAATGTGATTGATATTGTGAGGCATCAACAAAATACGTACGCAGTAAAACTACTGATTTATGACCACCCCTCCCCTCTCCTCCTTATAATTGAAGTCTTGGCTTCTAATACGTTGAAGTTTTCTTTTGCTTAATATTGAATATACCTAATATAAGCAGTCGTGCGTGTTATATGCTGTTTAAATATATTTTTATTATTGTTTTTTTATGATAGCTAAAAGAAGACAAAGTAAAAGTTTCTAAAGTACACGTTAGTGGTGCATTTCACACACCATACATGCAACCAGCACAAGAGCTGTTAAATGATGTTCTTCAAAATATAGCGATACAACCAACGGATATTAAACTGTATTCAAACGTGACTGGTAAACCGTATGAAAATATAAACTGTATAAAAAACCTTCTAGTTCGACAAGTGTGTGAACCTCTTTTATGGTATTCTGTTTTGCAAAGTATTAATGAAGATTACTTAAACGGGTTTTATGATGTTGTTTTTGAACTAAGCCGCATAAAGCAGATTAAGACAATGATTGGCAAAGTAAATAAAGATATGAGGGCAAAAGTTGTTAATTTATGGGTTTAGTTCAGAACTAATTAATTAACAGATTATTTTAAAGTTGCTATTTATAATTCTCGGTTGTTGTTTTTTTTTGTTTGTTTTTTCTGAATAGTTACTGATTTTTCATGATTCTGGCCAACAAATATCAACATGACAGATCTCTGCGTTGAAAATACCTTTTTCTATATTAGAAATAATTGACTTGACTAAATGGCTAATTTGTGATCAGACTTGACTACTCTCAAAGCTTTTTGTTACAGGTTCACAGACCTTTTTATGAACCTTAAACTCAGTAACACTTTTCCGATCGACATTTTTTGCATTAGTTTGCTGACGCAGCAGCCAGTTTAGCATCTTGTTTTTGCGTAACTGACGATACCATATATATTGTAATGACTTATTTACTGGATTAAATTCTTGACGGGGGTAAAAAAATGCATTGTTAGAGTTGCAAAAAAGTTGATCTAACTAATACTATACTGATATATAGTTTTATATAAAAATTACTTAAACTTTTTTTTATATATATTTTCTTGTTGATTATAATTTTAAATTCAATGTGTGTTATTGCCTAGAAAAAATATTTTTTATTTAATTGCCTATTATTTTGTTTTTATAATTCAACTTACTGAGTATTACTATTTTTTTGTATTGAGTAATACAAAAAAATGAAACTCTGGAACAAATATTCGGAAGCAGTTCTTCGCCAAAACCGAAGAAATTCTACAGGTAAATACGCTAAAGTGGTTTACAATAAAATAATCACAAACATTACCTTTTTTCCCCAAAAATAATTGGCAACAAAAATTGGTAAAGTTAATAATAACTTTAAAAAACAAAATTTTTTAAATTAACTATTTTAATTAGACGATTAATGCGACCCGGATATAAATTTTTTTAGATTTAAGATTATTTTTGAACGTAAAATTAATGAGCGATGAGTACTTTTCTAAATAAAATAAAATAACATTTATAATAACAAAATGTTATTTTATTTTATTTAGAAAAGTACTCATCGCTCATTAATTTTACGTTCAAAAATAATCTTAAATCTAAAAAAATTTATATCCGGGTCGCATTAATCGTCTAATTAAAATAGTTAATTTAAAAAATTTTGTTTTTTAAAGTTATTATTAACTTTACCAATTTTTGTTGCCAATTATTTTTGGGGAAAAAAGGTAATGTTTGTGATTATTTTATTGTAAACCACTTTAGCGTATTTACCTGTAGAATTTCTTCGGTTTTGGCGAAGAACTGCTTCCGAATATTTGTTCCAGAGTTTCATTTTTTTGTATTACTCAATACAAAAAAATAGTAATACTCAGTAAGTTGAATTATAAAAACAAAATAATAGGCAATTAAATAAAAAATATTTTTTCTAGGCAATAACACACATTGAATTTAAAATTATAATCAACAAGAAAATATATATAAAAAAAACTAGATTCGGTATGAGTATTTCCGATAAAAAATCAAGAGGTTTTAACAATCAAAATTATAAACAAAAAATCTAAAAACTTTAAAAACTACATTTGTTCGCGAAGATAAAGCTAATAAATAATCAAATTAAAAACAACCCGGAGGTAATCCGCTGTAGGTTGGTAGCCCTACTATTGATAATCAATAAAAATGAGTGTAATTGAACAAAAATCAATCGAAGTTATTGTCAACGAGGCCCTAAAGCTGGCTAAACAAAGAGTAACCATTAATAATGTCGCATTTGCAAAAACTACAAAAACAAAGTCGTAGAAATGATTAAAATAACATTAATGACGGTCATAACCAAAATCAAACAATAACACGATAAAGGTTTTTATGATCAAATCAATATACTAACCAACAAAGTGACAACAAAATCAACCGTATACCGTTAACTAAATCAAATAAAAAGAAAAGAGCACCTTGGTTTAATAAAAGTCTATCGGAAATGATTAAGGCAAAAAAAGTTTTATGGATAAAATGTAGAAATGCAAAATTTAGAAATCAAGAACTTGAGGCGAAATATAAAAGTATAAAAAACAGATGTATAAAAGTATAAACACATGTACAAAAGTTCAAAAAAAGGCTATTAAAAATGAAATTGTTAAACATGAGCACACAATAGCGAAAAATGCTAAGAAGAATCCCAAAATAGTTTACAAATATATGAATAATAAAACTCAAACTAAAGATTATATTCGAGCTATTGAGGTCAACAATGGAATAGTTACGACCAACCTTTCTTAGATTGCTAACAAACTAAACAATTTTTTCAGCTCAGCTTTTACTATTGAAGATAAAAGCCTCCCAGAGTTTCCAAAACAGTGCGATGTTTTATGCCCAAATCTTACATTCGATATTGAAACAGTTTGTAAGAAGCTTACAACTCTGAATGTTTATAAATCAACTGGAGTAGATACAATACACCCTAAAGTTTTAAAACAATGTTGCAAAAGTATTTCAAAGCCACTTTCAATTATTTTTGATTGCTCATTTTCGAGTGGCATTGTTCCATGTTTATGGTTATGTGCAAATATTACCCCTCTGTTTAAAAAAAGGAGATAAATTAAAAGTAACAAATTATAGGCCGGTATCATTCACATCAATAGTGTGCAAAGTGATGGTAAGCATAATAAGAGACACGCTAATGAATCATCTGACTAAAAATAGTATACTCTCTGACTCTCAACATGGTTTTGTATCATCCAAAAGTTGTTGCACAAATTTACTTAAAACACTTGACATAATACCTCAGGCACTTGAGGAAAATTTATCAGTCAGCTTTTTTAGACTTTGCTTTAGCCTTTGACTCAGTTGCACATAAGAGACTATTATTAAAACTACAATCCTATGGGATCCAAGAACAGTTATTATGTTGGTTTAAAAATTTTCTAAGCAGACGAACACAAAGAGTGGTTCTCGGTGAGATAACCTCTAAGTGGAAAAAAGTAATAAGTAGAGTACCACAAGGATCAGTTATTGGACCCCTTTTATTTGTCATATATATAAATGATTTAACAAGTGAGATAACTAATCACTGCAAATTATATGCAGATGACACAAAAGTTATTTCAGTTATTAATACAGTCGAAGACAATCGAACGTTACAGCAAGACTTATGTAAGCTGGTTGAATAGAGTGAAAAACGGCAAATCAACTTCAATAAAGAAAAATGCAAAATTATGCATATCGGCAAAAGAAATTTAAAATATAATTACTTAATGTGTAGCACATTCAATATAATTCAGCAAAATGCTTTAGTTATGGAAGAAACCACGTTAGAGAGCGATCTTGGTGTAATAATATCAAACAACATCAAATGGGAAAAGCATGTTAACACAATTGCGGCAAGGGCTAATAGAAAGCTCGGTCAGATAAAAAAATCTTTTTGTCGATTAGATGAAATTTCAATGAAACATTTATACGCGTCATTGGTTCGTCCACACCTGGAGTTTGCGGTGCCTGTATGGAACACTTACTACCAAAAGGATATTGATAAAATTGAAAAAATACAACGAGGGCTACACGAATAAATAGTTTAAGAAGCTTTTGCTATGAAAATAGACTAAAAAAATTTAACTTGACTACTTTAAAAATAAGAAAAGAAAGAGGCGATTTGATTCAATTTTATAAAATAAGTAAAAATATGGATAAAGTTAAATGGAATCATCCGCCTAAAATAATTAAATATGCAATAACAAGAGGTCATACTCAAAAAATACAAAAACAATTCACACATTCTACCACAAGATTTAACTTCCTTACAAACAGAATAGCTAACAATTGGAATAATTTAACAGAGGAGATAATTAATTCTAAAAATGTGAACATCTTCAAAAACAAAATAAAAATATAAAATAAATAAAACAAAAAAAAAATATATATATATATAACATTTAAATAGGAAAAAAAAAACTTTTGGAACGGCTGTCAAAGTCTAACACATGTTAGACTCTACACATGTATGTAACATCTACACATGTTAGACTCACACATTGTGTTCAGCAAAAATTTATTATTATTATTATTATTATTATTATTATTATTATTATTATTATTATTATTATTATTAACCGCCATTCATTCTTTTATCGATATGAAAAAGCAAAAAACATATGTTAACATAATCTGCAGCTTAAATAAAAACTAGAATCACAGCCTAGTCCGCCATTTATAAGAGGTGCGTTTGGATTAGGAACAATCCACAACTCTCTAGCGCAACAAATGTAAAAACGTCTGCCTCCACCACTACCACCACGTCAACCAAGGCCATTGCTGGCCATGCATAACTTATACCAGCTAAGCTTATTTCAACTAAATCCCTTGCCAACCAACAAAAATTCACCAAAACAAATCAATTTCTGGTCAAATAATTCTCGTTCGCTGAAAAAAGCTAAACAAATGAGCTAATGACAATGAGATAACAAAAACGAAACCGCATCTGTTTTTCTTCACTAAGACTTGGTTTGATGACTCGTCAAACATTTGATTTTTTGGCTTTTAACTCCCCAACAAAAGTCGAGTAAAAGGTTGTGGCGTGGTAATCTACATAAAAGACGATCTTCCAGCAAATGAAACAAAAGTAAATCAACTTAGTAAATCTCAAAAAAAATCAAACTAGAATGGTTAGTGATAAAAATTGGCAATGAATCTAATTTAACAGGCTGCAGCATATAATAAAAAAATGGTAACAACATTGCAGCGCTGGAACAAGTCATCAAATTGATCGTTTCAGCAAAGCAGAACTTGTCAAAATTTAACTTCTTAACTATCCTGATTCATGGAGATTTCAAATTTAGCCATACAACCAATGAAGTATTTTTTTTTTGTTTTATTTTAGGTGTTCCAAAAAGACTTAAGGGTCTTGTTACAGAGTACCGTGGAAAAGAATTTAACTAGGAAGTTCACTCCTCCTTTTTTTCAAGTAGCGCGAAATATGCCCAGAGCTTGCTTTAAACTCTGAATTTCTTGCGTATAAAGCAAGGGCTCTAACAACTGCGTCACGGCTGCTACTAAGCACTTGAAACTGTTGGCACAGCAATGGTTGGGTATATACAAAATGATCATTTAGCTGACGTGAGATTCTAGCAAT